AAAAAAGAAAAGAAAAGAAAAAAAAAAGAACACAGGCCAAAGGTCCAATAGTAAATATTTTCGGCTTTGTGGGCCATGCTTTATCTGCTGCAGTTACTCAACTCTGCCACTGCAACACAAAAGCAGCTATATGCAATATGTCAAAGAATAAGTTTGTGGTACAATGAAACTTTATTACCATACAAGTAGAGAACAAGATTTGGCCCATAGTTCAGTTTGTAAAATTCTGACTGAAACTATGGTAGGAGAGACAATATATTATAAAAAGTAAAGTAAAATTAACAAGTAAGACAAAACAAGCACCAAACGAATGCATGCACAGAGACAAACTACTACAGAAACAAAGGCGGGGAGAAATCAATGACTGGTCTATAAAAAGCAAGTCTTTATGATTTTATTTTGCAAACGAAGAAAATAAACATGCAAGCCAATTTTATTTTAATTATCTATCTTCTATACAAAGGTTAATCTCTAATAATAAATTCACAAAATTATAAAGGCTGTCTAAAAAAAATTGTTACCAATTTGATTTACCTTACCTTAACACAGATCAGGATGTAGGTCTTCGGAAATAAAATAAATATATTTTCCTTAGCTAGCTTAAGGCTAGCCCAGATTTATTGGAGCAAAACCTCTGAGTAATCTAGATATTTTATATTCATATCAAGTAACACCAAAGGACCCTAGAAACCTCTCTGTCTTTTAAGCACTATCACAACGCTTATGCATTATCTAATGTACTTTTAAGGACTCTTCCACCCTTGTATCAGTTACTGATCAGAACAGAAAAAATAATCTATGAGATTGGAGAATAAGAATAATAAAAAAAGAGAATAAATTACTGACCTGTTGATCTATTGAATCTCCTGCACCTTTTAAAAACTCCATGGAGCTTGAAGCAGCAGCCACCCTAGAAGTCTTAACTTTAACATCAGCTTTTGGACTCATCAACTTCTGTCTTGATCTGGTATTTCCTTCTGCAGAAATTCCTAATGATTTCCATCAAACAAGATTTCAAAATTATATCTTCTCATTCTCCTCAACTCTTCCCCCCATTAGCCTCTTCCTTGATAGGCTCTATTTTATAAGAATTGATGGGGGAAATAGGACTTTATAAATTTTCTTTTAAAGCTCTCTTAATGAAAAATGAACCATGAAAAAGTTAAAGAAATACATTAGGATTCAATAGAAATGTTCCTAAAAGGGGCTGTGAACATTTGTGTGTCACATTAAAACCAATAAATAACAACATGGCATAGATAACCTTAACTCTGGAGAAATTAAAGATCTTTACATGTCATTAGGGCACCTTTAGAGGTTCAATTTTACTACTCATCTAGTAACAACCAATAAACTTTAAAGAGTCTCTTACATAGACCTTGTATCAAGAAGTTTTTATACTTTATTCTGAAATATTCAATTTGAGCTATTATTCATAATATTACAAAAAAAAAAAATCTTTTGTCCTTTAATATGTGAATACAGTGTGGTACAAGTCCATCGAAAGCTGGCTTGCCCAGGAAGCCCCTTAGTACTTCAAACCTAAATACCAAAAAAAAAAAAAACCTCACTGCCATCAAGTCAATTCTGACTCACAGCAACCCTCATTGGGTTTCCAAGGTGGTAAATCTTTATGGAAGCAGACTGCCTAATCTTCCACGGAGTGGCCGGTGGGTTTGAACCACCAACCTTCTGGCTAACAGTCAAATGCCTTAGGCACCGCACCACCAGAGCTCCTTCAAATCTTAATAGAGTCATGCCAAATATTCCAAAAACAAATTTCAGATGTTGACGGACTGGTCTGCCTCCAATTATACAAGCAAAGATGTTTGATTTTTTTCCTAACATATAACAAGCAAAGGAAGCTCACCAAATCAGTATGAAAGATCATACCTGGAACATATACTACTGATTGTTCTTCATCAGAAACTATGCAAGGACATCAAGGAAAATACAATAAGATTATCCAAAATCCAAATGATACTGCTATAGTGTACTTCTGTTATTTCCTTTGACCTGAAAATCTGTAACTAATTTTTTTTGGGTTGTTGTTGTTACATGCCGTCAAGTCAGACCCGACTAATAGCGACCCCTCCTTGGGTTTCCAAGGCAGTATCACTACGGAAGTAGATTGCCCCATCTTCTTTCCGAGGAGTGGCTGGTGGGTTTGAATCGCCAGCCTTCTTGTTAGCAGTCAAGCACCTCAGGGGAAATCCACTGCCATCGAGTTGATTCTGACTCATAGGGACCCTACAAAATAGAGAAGAACTGCCTCACAAGATTTCCAAGGCTGTAAACCTTTACAGAAGCAGACTGCCCCATCTTTCTCTTGCAGAGCAGCTGATGGGTTTGAACAACCACCTCTCAGTTAACAGTCGAGCACTTTAACTACTGCGCCACCAGGGCTCCTGTTTCAAAAACAAAAACTAGAAGGCAAAATAACTGAATTAAATGTAATAAATATTCTTTTAAAGTCCATTATTATATATTTATAACTATGTTTTATATAAAAAGAATACAATTGTAAATATATGTACAAAAATGTTTCATGAAAATTTTAGGCCATATTCCACCACCTTTTATCCAATCTTATCCCCAAGTGGGATACTAGACAATATGCATTCTGCTGTGAGGTTCCTTTTCTTTTCCTCTCCTTTTTTAACAAGGAGTTAAATGTTCTCATTTGTTGATTATTGGAGAGGTTATTCTAAGCATGAAGAATAAAGAATTTCAAGATGAGTTTTCACCTTAAATAACAAACACTGTTTGAGGGCAAGTCAATCATGCAAACACAAAGGCAATTTTTATTCTTCTGCATGCAGTGCATTCATAAAATGTCCCAAAAAGCCTTGCTATTTTAAGTGGAAGAAATTTAAAACAAAAAGAACTATTTTGAATTTCAAAAGAAAGGCTAAAATCCTAACATCCCACTGAAAGAGAATTGATATAATAAGAAAGATAGTTTTCTTTCCAAAAACAAAATTGTATTCAGAACTACCAAACCAAAAAGCCAAACTCACTGCCATGGAGTCAATTCCAACTCACAGTGACCCTCTTTGGGTTTCCAAGGTGGTAAATCTTTACAGAAGTAGATTGCACAGACTTCCTTCTATGGAGTGGCTGGTGGGTTTGAACTGCAAACCTTCTGATTAGCAGTCAAATACCTTAGGCGCTATGCCACCAATGCAACGCAACACAATGCAAGGCTGTCAGTCAGATCCGACTTATAGTGACCCCTCCATGGGTTTCCAAGGCAGTATCACTACAGAAGTAGACTGCCCAACCTTCCTTCCGAGGACTGGCTAGTAGGTTTGAACCACCAGCCTTCTCGTTGGAAATCAAATGCCTTAGGAACTACACCATCAGAGCTCCTACTATGCCACCAGAGCTCCTTACTCAGAACTACGTAGGAGTTCTGGTGGCATAGTGCCTAAGGCATTTGACTGCTAACCAGGAGGCTGGCGGTTCAAACTCACCAACCACTCCTCCAAAGGCAGACTGGGCAATCAATCTACTTCTGCAGAGACACCACCTGGGAAACCCAAGGAGGGGTTGCCATGAGTCAAATCGACTCAATAGCTGAGTTTTTCTTTTCTTTTTTCTTTGGTACAGAATACCTAAATCCACTTATGTCCACAATTCGATACCCTTCTATCACACTTTCAGGAAGGATCTAAACAAGTTTTTCCAAATGATCTAGAAAATTCTAAAGTGTTCTCTAATTTTATAAAGTAATATTTTACCTTCTAAGATTTCTAGAGAAAGCAATTATTAACTATTTCCTTCCTGGAATAAAAGAGCAATTTAATAACACGCTCAAAATGACAATGTTTCAGCTCAACCTCAATTCAAGTAATGAAGAGTCTTTTCAGGGAGTACTTACTGGAAATGCTTAGTTAGTATCCCTATTAGTAATTTGTTGTTGTTATGTGCCATCGAGTTGGAACCAACTTATAGTGACCCCTCCTTGGGTTTCCAAGGCAGTATCACTACGGAAGTAGATTGCCCAACCTTCCTTCCGAGCGAGGAGTGGCTGGGTTTGAACCTCTAGCCTTCTAGTTAGCAGTCAAATGCCTTAGGCACTATGCTACCAGAGCTCCTATTAGGAATTTAGGAATAGTAAAATGGTGTTTATTGTCTGAGCTGCCCTCTGATATCTAACAGCTCTCTGCAGCAGCACCTTCACTCCAAGACTTTTTCACAGCTTCAAGACTTTTTGCTGGTAACTAAACCGAACCAAATCCGCTGCCATCAAGTCAATTCTGACCCATAGCAACCCTATAAGACAGAGGAGAACTGCCCCATAGGGTTTCCAAGGATGTAAATCTTTGTGGAAGCAGACTGTCTCATTTTTCTCCCACAGAGCAGTTTGAACCGCTGACCTTTTGGTTAGCAGCCTATGATTTAACCACCGTGCCACGAGAACTCCTTGTACTGATATCTAGTGTCTGTAAAGTTTAAATTCCCTCAAACAGCATATATAGAGCTTAGAAAGTTTTAGGAGGCACATGAGGCAAGTAAACAAACAAACAAAACGCAGAATCCACCACTACAAAAAGAAAAAAAAAAAAAACCAGATAGCAACTAATATGGGAGTAGAGAAAGAATTTTTAAATTCACCAACACCCAAATTAACAAAACTTTATGAAACGAAATGGTGCCAGTTCAACAGCAAAAGCTGCTTGTGTGTGTGTGTGTCCCGCTTGGGACTAGTACGGGCACATACTACCTGCACATGCAGGAAGTACTCAGTAAAAAAGTTTAATTATTTGCTGTTAGAAATATATACATCATAAAAAGTACCCAGGAGAGAAATATCCAAAATAGTGATTCAAGATATGGTCCCCATATGACAGCGTCTTCAATTAGAAGATAATAGTAATGCTGACTTTTCAGAATATGCCCTATGGATGACCTATACAAAGACTCATCATTGAGTCCCGGAAAATAAACTATACTTCCTTATGCCATTCACGTTCACTAAGGAGCTTGCTCACAGCTGGAAGGGATCAGCCACTGGGAATCCCACTCAACTGTACCAACTTGGAAGCTTAATCGAGTATTTTGTACTCTCTCCTCTCTGCTCAAGTATTATATTACTTCTTCCACTTTTACTCCCAACTGCTAATTTTTATTCCATAAATTTCCACTAGCACATCTTATCCACTTTCCTGCAGCTATGTCCATATTCTCTGTCTTACCTCTTTTTACTTTGGATAAACTGCTATGCTCTTATCTAAAGCCAATCCATCCGTTATATAATATGCACCATTCCTTCTCTACCCAAGAATATTGCTCCAGCTATACTCCCCTTTCTCTGGCATCAATCATTTTTCCTATTAAACTTTTTTCCATTACATCCAAACATGTAATACTTCATTTTCTCAGGGGGGTGGGGATCCTCATGACCCTACACCTCCTCCAGCAACTGTACCATTTTTGCTCTCCTTTATAACAAAACTCTTCATGAGAGTTATCTAGACTCATTGTATCCAATCTCTCTTCTTCTATTCAGTCTTGAACCTATCCCAATCAAGTTCTCAACTCCATCAACCCAGTGTAATCTCATCAAGATTACAATGGCCCCATATTGTTAAATCTTCTAATTCTCAGACCTCTTTGTACTTGATTGGTCAAGAACATTGGACATGGATGACCACTCTCCTTTTTGAAACACCTTTCATTTGGCTTCAAAGACACCATCCACATAATTTTCCTCTTACTTTTCTGATCACTCCTTTTTAGTCTCCTTATAATTTTCCCAGGAGTCTCTGGGTTGTGCAAATGGTTAAGCACTTGATCGCTAGCTGAAAGACTAGTGGTTCGAACCCACCCAGAGGAACTTCAGAAGATAAGTCTGACAATCTGCTTCAAAAAACCTTGGAAACTCTAAGGAGCAGTTCTACTCTGCACAAATGGGGTTGCCATGAGACAGAATTTACTCAAGAGCAACTAACACAGCAAGAATTTTCCTAGCATCTAACCCTTGGAGTGTTCTCAGGTACATTCCTTGGACCTTTTCTCTATCTACTCATTCCCTTGGTGATCTCATTCAATCTCATGACTTTGAAAATCATCAATATGCTAATATCTACCAAATTAATCTCTAGCAGGAGCCTATTTCCTAAGCCACTGCCACTTGGATGTACAAAAGGTATTTCATACTCTATAAGTCCAAAACCAAAGTCCTAACCTTCATCCCCAAACCTACTCCTCCCAAAGTCATCTCATCTCAGTAAACAGCAATTCCATCCTTCTAGCTTCCAAGGCCAAAAATATGAAGTTATTCTTACCTCCTGTTTTCCTCATACTGCACATTCAGAAAATCCTGTTGGCTCACTTCTTACCATCACCAACACTACCACCTTCATCTACGTTTCCTTCTTCTCTCACCAATGTTATTGCAATAACCTGTTAACTGGTCTGGTTTCTGAATATGACCCCCAAAAGTCTATTTTCACATGGTGGTTAGAATGACCATTTTATAACATACTCAAATCATGTCATTACTCTGCTCAAAACCAGCCAATGACTTCTCATCTCATTCGATTAAAAGTCAAAATATATATAAATGCTTCCAAGCTAAAGATCTCATCCCTTACCATACCCTTTCACCTCCCTCATCTCATGTCCAACTACTTACTTTAGACTTACTCAGCCCCAGCTTCCTTACTCTGACTAGTTAAGTTGTGTCAGCTCCTGCCTGAGAGCCTTTGCACTTGTAATTTCTTCTATCCAGAAAGCTCTTTCCCCAGATATCTTCACAGCTCACTCTCCCTCTTCTAGGACTTTGATCATATGACACACCTCATTGAGGCTTTCACTTCCTAACCATTTGTTATTGTAGTTGTTGTTATGTGCCGTCAAGTCAGACCTGACTCATAACGACCCCTCCTTGGGTTTCCGAGGCAGTATCACTACGGAAGTAGATTGCCCCATCTTGCTTCCGAGGAGTGGCTGGTGGTTTTGAACCACCAGCCTTCTGGTTAGCCAAGTGCCTTAGGCACTATGCTACCAGAAATCCTAACATACACATATGTAGCTATTATTGCTCATAGTAACTTTTCAGGCCAGTATATTAAGTTGCCCTGGTGGATCAATTGGTTAAGTGCTAGGCTGCTAACTGAAAGATGGCTGCTGTTGTTGTTAGGTGCTGTTGAGTTGATTCCGACTCATAGTGACTCCATGTACCAAAGAACAAAACACTGCCATGTCCTGTGCCATCCTCAAGATCCCTGCTATACTTGAGTCCACTGTTGCAGCCACTGTGTTACTCCATCTCATGGAGGGTTTTTCCCTTTTTCTCTGAACCTCTATTTTAGCAAGCATGATATCCTTCTCCAGGGACTGGCCCCTTCTGACCACATGACCAAAGTATGTGAGACAAAGTCTGGCCATTCTCACTTCTAAGGAGCATTCTGGCTGCACTTCTTCTAGGATAGATTTGTGTGTTTTTCTGGTAGTCCAAGGTATTTTTAGTACTCTTCGCCAACACCAGAATTCAAAGGCATCAATTCTTCTTCAGTTTTTCCTGTTCGCTGTCCAGTGAAAACGTGCATTATGAGGCTATTGGAAATACCATGGCTTGGGTTAGGCACATCTTAGTCTTCAAAGTGCCAACTTTGTTCTTTAACACCTTAAAAAAGACTTTTGCAACAGATTTACCCAGTTCAGTGACATCTGATTTCTTGACTGCTGCTTCCATGGGTGTTGATTGTGAATCCAAGTAAAATGAAATCTTTGACAACTTCAATCTTTTCTCCATTTATCATGATGTTGCTTACTGGTGCAGTTGTGAGAATTTTTGTTTTCTTTATATTGAGGTGTAATCCATACTGAAGACCACAGTTTTTAACTTTCATCAGTAAGTGCTTCAAGTCATCTACACTTTGAGCAAGCTAGGCTGTGTCATCTGCATATCACAAGTTGTTAATGAGTCTTCCTCCAATCCTGATGCTGCACTCTTCTTCATACAATCCAACTTCTTGGATTATTTGCTCAGCATACAGACTAAGTAAGAATGGTGAAAGGATACAACCCTGACACACACCCTTTCCTGATTTTAAACCATGCAGTATTTCCTTGTTCTGTTCAAACAACGTCCTCTTGGTCTATGTACAGGTTTCTCATGCGCACAGTTAAGTTTTCTGGAATTCCCCTTCTTCACAATGTTATCCATTATTTGTTATGATCCACAGTAGAATGCCTTTGCATAGTCAATAAAACACAGATAAACATCTTTCTGATATTCTTTGCTTTCAGCTAAGGTAATTGAAAAGTAGGCACTTATACCCACCAATCACTTCATAGGAGAAAAGACCTGGTAATCTGCTTCTATAAAGATTAAACACACTGCCATTGAGTTGATTCCAACTCATAGCAACCCTATATAGCACAGAGTAGAACTGCCCCATAGGGTTTCAAGGCTGCTTTATGGAAGCAGACTACTTCATTTTTCTCCCACAGAATGGCTGGGGGCTTCAAATTGCTGACCTTTTGGGGAGCAGCCCAGTGCTTTAACCACAACACCACCAAAGCTCCTTCCATAAAGATTACAGTCTAGGAAACCCTATGGGGTAGTTCTGTCATACATGGTTACTCTGAGATGGCATAGACTCAATAGCACACAATATTATTTTAACATCTACATGAAGTCTTAGTCTACTTTTAATTGAACACTCAATGATTATTTCAATGTTTTCACTAGGTCCCTTATCATCCATACTTGTTAATATCAAGTTAGTGATAATGTTAATGATAATACACTTAAGTGTATTTAAGGCATCAAATTTGTATACTGCAGAAGCATTTACTTCTTCTCACAATACTAGGAACTACGATGAAGGAGGAAAGCTATCTATAGCTGAAGGGGCACATTTCACTCATAGATAGAATCCTTAAAATGACAACATGGCATACTCACTGTTTACACATTAGATATGAAGGCAAACCTTCTGCAAAATAGCACTGCTGAATCATACTTGCAGGAGGTGCATAACTCACAAGAACAGAAGTAAAAAAGGTGACATTCAGTCACAGATGATCTGTCCTCACATGATGGAAACATCTACAATTAGAAAATCTCTCAATCACATTTCTAAGTTAGGTACCACTGCCGTCAAGTCAGATCCGACTCACAGCAACCCCTCCTTGGGTTTCTAAGGTGGTATCACTATGGAAGTAGATTGCCCAACCTTCCTTCTGAGGAGTGGCTGGTGGATTTGAACTGCCAGCCTTCTGGTTAGCAGTCAAATGCCTTAGAAAAAATCTTTCTTCGATACTGTGAAAAGACTCCAGATTCTAGTATATGTATTTTTTTTTTTAATATTTTTCTATTGGGAGTTTTATTATAAAGGTTCTTAGGTGGTCTGGTGAGTTATCATTGTGACAAGAAAGGAAATAAAGATCCAATGACACATGACTAAATCCAAGTGTAACTATCATTGTACTTTTCAGAAAATATTCAGTAACAGGAGAGGCGGGGCAAGATGGCGGACTAGGCAGAAGGATTACACAGACGCTCTTCAACAAAGAAAATGGAAACCAATTAATACAGACACAGAAGATAATCTTGGACCCCTGAGCCTTGAAGGAAAGGATGCAGATTTGGACTAAACCCCAACTAGCAGAAGAA